AGATAATTTTGAATGTTTTCAAGGTTTCTGCAGTGGAGTTGGTTGGGGAGGTTTGAGAAACATAGGTTTTCTTATTGGGGGGGGGGGGGGCAGAAGTTTGAGGGGCTGAGGGAGAGGTTGATGTAGAGGAAGGGATAGAGCATTTAGCTTATCTTCTGAGATGAATTGGGTAAGGAGAAAGGGGGTTAGACACTGGAGAAGTAGTGTGTCTAGAATAGTGTAGGAGATTGGGGTGTCTGGATTTAGAATGGCAAAAGATTTTGACTGGGAAAGGGAGGGGGTAGAAGTGGGATGAGGAAGGGATGCTGGATGATGTAAAAGCATTTTCGGAGGAAAGGGATGGGGTAGAGTGATTATTGGAGTAAGGAATAAGAGAAAAACCTAGCCAACCTGCTTCCTGTCTGGCTTTGCATAGAGTGAGGCCAAGTCTAAATCTGAGAGTTACCACTTCAGACTCAAACTTGTAGATAGGGCAGCCCCTATAAAAAGCATTATGGGAGCCACCACAATTGGCACATGTGCATGACTGAGCAGAGCAGTTTGATTAGTTATGACCAGGTTTGACACATAGAGGGTATAGGGAAGGGAGGTTGATATGGTTGGACAAGGAGGGATTCTCTGCAAATATGAACATTAAAAGGGAGGTCCTGTCTATTGAAAGTAATCTTGGTAATATTGGTGGGGGACTTATGATGGCCTCTAAGGGAAATGGTGTAGCATTGTACTGATTTTGGATCATAGTCCATGAGGCAGGCGAGTAAGCCTTTTCCACAGTCAGACCAATTTTTGTTGTATATAGGTAACAAGTAATTCTAAAAAGATCTAACGCAAGACCGTGGTGCATGGAAAAGAACCAGTAGGAAACCCTGTCTAACCCATGTTAGCTTGGAAAATGGGCATTGGAGATGATGATGATGATGACAATGACAGGGCAGTTTGTTGGGGAGATGGAGACAGTTCTGGTACAAGTAGGGTGGGATGAGGTTGAGCAGGAATGGTTTGCCAGTGAAGCCTGTCAGGGTTAATAATGTTTTAGCATGGGTTCTAGATGTAACAGTGACAAGGTAGGATCAATTGGGGCAGGTGTGGAAGGAAACTGCACATTTGTTTTTAGAGACATTGCTAGAAGAGGAGTGCTGTCAGAGTAAGAAGCTGAGGAAAGGATCACGAAAAATTGGTTCCATTTGGCAGGGCTAAATAAGAGCATTGAAGAAGTAGAAGGATGGTGACATGTGGAAGAGGGAGTAGTGTTGAGAGAGGTAGACAATATGGCTGTCGAGTAGTAAGTGAGGATGGTGTAGTTGATGAAGAAAGTTTTGGAAGTGGAGATGTTGGGAGACGAGGAAGTCTCCTGGAGGTTGAATATTGACTTGGGTGGAAGATGTGATAGCAGGCATAGAGGAGGGGATAGTAGCAGTGTTCAGGGTCATGGTCAAAGGGGAGCCTGGAAAATTTGAATCAGTGGTGCTATTTGATGAAGGGCAAGCCTTATTGCCCCTAATAATGGTATAGTCTTCATCATTGGCCATGGTAAGCCTTGAGTATATTGTCCATCCCTCAGGGTCCCCTTGAGGGGTAAAGACAGCTATGTGGGAATAACATGCCTATGGCTCCCTCAGGTCATTCATGACTGTCACAAACTCAGCCTCTCATTGTTTCAACACAGCTTTCACAACTGTACATGCACCCACAAACTCTTCTAAGGATGATTAAATAAATAAAACTATACATTTACAAAAGAAAGCTGTATTCAATAATGAAAAATTCATATACAAATATATAAAATACATCCATTGTTAAATAGAAAGTAAAGAGCATCTCATTTAACAGTATTATATATTTGCAGCACACTTTTTAAAAAGAAAAGAGCATATCTTCTTCCCAGTGGAATAAAACAGTTAAAAGACCTGTCAAACTTGCAAGAATGATACACTGAGTAGTTAGGAACATTTTGTTTTCTCATGGGTATCAGATACCACTTTCTGAACTAACTGATATGTGTCGTAGTCTTAGGAAATCAACTAGAGTGGCTTAAAACTACTCAGGATATAGATAGTGGGGCACAAATAGACTCCTCACTTCAGCATGAACCGCATTTTTTTCTTTACTGGATGATGCCCCAAAGAAATAGAAAAGTAAGAATGAGTTGATAGTCAAGAGCAAATATAATTTACCTAATTTCTGGCCATATACTTGGATAAATTTTCCTTAAGCAAATAGAGAAATTCTCACATAAAAAGGTTAAAGTGTAATGGAAGAGGTACAAGATAATACTAATAATGAGGAAAAATGTAAAACCTTGTCACATTAAGACTTAAGTGTATACACCTGCATATACATATATAAGAAAAAGTTGAGATCTAAAAAGAGTAAAGATCTTATAAGCTATATTCCTAAATCTATACTGCAGAATCAAATATTTTTTTAAACAAAACCAAATCAAATATACAGTCAGACAGGAAATTGCTTTTATAATATCATCAATGTTTCTTCTGTGAAG